TTGTTTAAACCCTGCCCTCTTTTCATAAAAAAAACATCGATTATTGATATAGTGCGATATAAAATGCCAAAATACAAAGAAATCTTGGTGAGCATGATACGTATTGTTTGTATCTCTGTGACTGTTGATAAAATTAAAACTGCAGACCTTGATGAAAAAAATGTCTTACATGCAGGTCCATCAGGATTACATATGTTTATAAATGATTATAACAGATGCACTATACCATAAAAACTTAACTTAATATAATGAAAAGTAAATGAATAAATAAAGATGTGTATATACCTTCTTAGGTAAATCTGGTCAGTATTGTGCTTTTATAGTTTTCAAGCATTGTAAAGCTGAACTATATTCATATGACCGGCTCTTTTAGATGCATTTCATCATGTTTCATGATAAATTACAATATTGGTTCTGCACCACGAGCCCCTCCACCGTCTCAACAATTCACTGTTTTCAATTAACTTCATATGTAAACACAGAGCTACTCTCTTCTTCTGAATACAAAGAGCATTTTAACAATCCTATACAAGAGATATTTACAGTACATAACACAAAGGAATGACTTCCTTTTTGTGAACTCTTTTTCATTGAAGAAGCCAATGAAAGCCAATGAAGAACGAAAGAAAGAAAGAAGCTGAATCAGGCTCAGACGGCATGCAGACGCCACAGACCGTTTGAAGTAGTGTTTACAAGATATTAGATTATACAAGTTAAGGAGATTTGCCAGATTTCCCAAAGACTGAGAGGTTCATAGCACTGAATCTGGACGATAGTTAAACGTTTTGTTTGAGGCAGTTAAAACAGACATCTTCCAGTGCAACTATATTGTCTGCTTTGATCTGTGTGTTATATGTCTGAAATAATGTCTTATTCATTTTGGATTGTTATAAGTCCTGATCACAATCTCCGTTAATGTTTCTGTACAACTGTTCACAGAGACGTCTGTGCCGTCGCTGTCAGATTTACCTGCGGTGATCAGCTTTGGGTCTGTTCCTCACACAAAGCAATCATTTGGCCTAGGAAGACTTAGAATATGTATCATTTTTGAACAAATTATTGTGGCTCTACTCATATTGTTTTATATTCAGGAATGTTTATGTTTTGGAGTAAGGGTTGTGTTAGGTGCTCAAAATGTCTAAATAGTGTAATATAAATAATCTGGGTAGCACTTTATTTTACAGTCCTGTTCCGCATGTACGTACCGTACACTTATTATAATAACTGGTAATAACTAACCCTCAATAGCGATGAAGTGATGAATGCTGATAATTATCAGTATTCGGTGCTTTCGGAGTGAGGACAGGTTGAGGCTACACACAATGGGCCAGTTTTACTAACAGGGCAAATAAGCGCCGATGGGCGTGGAAATTTCTGCGGGTGATTTACTAACAATGCGCAGATTAAAGAACACAGACGCAACATCTCATTTACATATCGACCAACGCAATATACCTAGCGTAGTCGCAAATAAAGAAATAAAGAAGACACAGTACTTTGAAAAGAACCGGAGGCCAAAAAATTAAGGGTTGCAAGAAGTTTGGATAGACCTGGTATTGCGTGACTCCTAGATGAGGGTTCCAAGTCGTCTTTTATATCCTGAAGCAAATTAAAAATAACATGGCTTTGCAAACGATATGTTTGGACAATGTGTTCTTCTAGCATTCTATTAATACATTAATACATGTAGAAAAAATTATCTCTGTTCTCTGCGGTGCCTCCTCCTAGCAACAACAAATGCAGCCATTTCAAGCACAAAATAGTTTAAGACATGCTTTTTTTGGGGCGTTAAATAATGGCGCAAATACCAGTAATGTGACGAGTGAAAAACGTTAGTAAAACGCATTGCATGATTCATTTTAATACTTTCCTCCCATAAATTTTGCGTCTGAAAGAGAAACTCCTACAAATGCATATTCAATAAAGGTCAGGCGCAAACATAACTGGGTCCATGTCTTTTCAGAGATAATTCTTCACTGCGTGTCTTTAGTAAATACTGACAGTACTATTTTAACGCCAAAAGACGGGTTGCGCTGGCGCAAGCTGTTAGTAAAACTGGCCCAAGATGTCAAAGTTTAGCTGGTCAGTATCCGGTTAACCCATGCTGGGCTGCGTTTCCCAAAAGCATCGTACGCTTATGTACATCGTAGACCCACTGTAACTCATTGAGCTACGATCAACTTAAAGGGATAGTTCACCCAAAAATGCTGTCATTAATCACTCACCCTCGTGTCGTTCCAAACCCGTAAGACCTTCGTTCATCTTCGGAACACAAATTAAGATATTTTTGATGAAATCCGAGAGCTCCATAGACAGCAATGTAATTAACAAGATCAAGGTCGATAAACGCAGCAAGGACATCGTTAAAATAATCCATGTGACATCAGAGGTTCAACCGTAATTTTACGAAGCTACGAGAATACTTTTTGTGTGCAAAGAATACAAAAATACCGCCTTTATTCAACAATTCGTCTCCTCCGCGTCACCCTATTGCGCCATTTTGGAGAGTATCACATTCGTAAACAACGTATGCAACATATGTACGCGGATACGCTGGTTACATTCAGATCAAAGTGTAAACAACGTAAACAGCACATCCGCGTACATTGCTGCTGACACAGAACAGCATACATTGTTTAAATATCGCAACATACTGTTGCAATAAGGTGACGCGGAGGAGACGAATTGTTGAATAAAGTCATTATTTTTGTTTTCTTTGCGCACAAAATGTTATCACGTAGCTTCGTAAAAGTACAGTTGAGCCCCTGATGTCACATGGATTATTTTAACGATCTCCTTGCTACGTTTCTGAGCCTCGATCGTGTTAATTACATTGCTGTCTATGCAGGATCAGAGAGCTCTCGGATTTCATCAAAAATATCTTAATTTGTGTTCCGAAGATGAACGAAGCTCTTACGGGTTTGGAACGACACTCTGGCGAGTGATTAATGACAGAATTTAGTTTTTGGGTGAACTATGCCTTTAAACTTACAATGCTTTTGGGAAACGCAGCCCTGGTAGATGTAACTAAATAATTTTAAAGACAAAATGCATTCTTCTCCATTGACGGCTATTCGAAAGTAGACATATAATCTGATGTCAAATATGTATCAAGTTTTGCAAGTGACATGCTTTTTTTTCTCAGAGTATTTTTACAAACTTTATTTTTCCTTGTCTGCTGCCATTCATGTCACAGCTCTGGATTATCACTTCTTATCGAAGGCTCGGGACTGTGCATGTTCCTCTGCCTCTGTTCCTGCTGTCAGCCAATAAGCATTGCGCTTTACTGCTGAGCGCCAATCAGTCACGTGACATTTACAGCTGAAGTGAACCGAGTGCTCATGAGCATGAGTGGGAATGCTAACGGAGAGATTCGCTGTAAAACAAATTAAATCTATGAGTGCGACCAAATTTGGGATTGCGTTATTAGTAGTAATGCCTTCAATTTCCATAGCACGAAATTAAACATAATACAACCATCGTGGAAATATACAGCCGGCTAAGGTGTGAGGATAAAATTTAGAGTACAGTATTTGAGTGAATAGTTTTATCAAAATAAATGAGTTTACGTAAAAGTGTATAATAAATTCTCTTGAATAAATAAACCATCTGTGAGTAGAGAAGTAGAAAATGCAGCCTTTTGTTAAAACTATTCATAAGAGTCTCTTCACTCAATAGACCGCGAAATCAAGAAAGATTATAAATAAAGGTATATAAATATTAAATTATCCAGTGCTGCTCTCTTAGAAATGGCTAAAAGGGGAAAGAACCGTGGACGTCCATGCTTTGATTTTTCCGTTAGTATAAAGATAACTAATTTGCAGCAGTGACTGTTTTGATAATTTGGCAACAAAACAGATTCACCTTGTCCTAAAATAAATCAATTAAAAAGAAATCTATCAAACCAAACGCAAGCGCACTGAAAACGATTGATTTTTGGAGCAGGCACCATTTGTTCTTAACCTCTTTAGAGTATCAGCGTCAGCCAGAAATTAAGGTGAACCCAAGGTCAAAGAGAATTAGTCCTGATTTGTATCTGTCAACATAAGTCCTGCTTGTATTGCAAAATCACACGGAAGAGTATACGGACGTAAAAATAAGTGGCGCTTCTCAGACGGCTGAGAATCCAGCTAGTTGATATAATAAAGCCAATAGATGACGTTGAAGAAGGAAAACACGGTGGGGAAGATTATCACTTACTGGTTTTCAATAATGATTCTTTAAACGTTCAACACAGTATTTAACACATATTGAGACAAATCAACAAAGTGCCAGTAACACACAGTGGGAATGGGTTGGTACACATGAAGATGTAACGCAAAGGTAAGACACATGATGGTATGTATGCTATATATTGCTACAAAATTATTACCTTTTGATGACAAATAATAGGGCATCACATTAGATGCTGAACTGACATTTTGAAAAATCTAATAAATGAACAAAAAAGTAATTTTTCAATTGTTCTCCCTCAAAAACAGATTGCCTGTTCCTTTCTGAATTGTACTTTCAAACTTTAAATTTTTTTTTTTTTTTAATGGTATTGAAAATTCCAAAACATTTGTTTGGTTGAGTGGTTAGGAGGGAAAAGAGAGGTGATGATGACAATGGAGAAAAAAATAGGTTGTGCTCTTAAAGAAATAATTCACCGAAAAAACAAAAACAAAAAAAACAGCAACAGTCTGTCATGATTTCCTCACCCTCATGTTATTCTAAACCCGTCTGTCTTTTTCTCTGCACAAAATTAAAACAGAACATTGACGAGCTCCAATAGGACAAAAAAAGTACCATAAAAGTAGCCCTTATGACTTGTGTAAAGTCATCTGAATGCATACAATAGGTTTTTCATTAGACAACATGAGAGTGTTCAAATTATGACAGAATTTTCTGTTTGGGTCAACAATTCTTTCAAGAGGAAACAAGGAATCGCAAAAAAAAACAGGCTCAAATAAATTTGCCGCGTTGTATGCCGTTATTCTCCTGATGAACTTTTTCAGTACCTTATTTTTTGAATCGCCTAGTCCTAATGCTGCATCATCCACAAAGATCGGTTCCCACATGGAGTCATGTGCGTCAATATCCCTCTGTTTCATTCTGGCATACAGAGCATCGTCTCTCTGAACTACATTTCCCACCAACCACTGAAAGCATACAGAATCAGCACTGTCAAGGCAGTCACTTCAAGAGAGGTGGTGAAACTTACATGGTGGCTTTAAGAGTGTGAGGCAATGCTGGCATTTTGTGGATTATGCCTCAAAAATCCTAAAATCCTAAATCCAGAATACTACAATATACAACATCCGAGCACCAGCGAAACAGCGTCACAATTTCAGCAAACTAAGTCTTGACCAGTTCCATGAGTGCTGCTATTGCTTCAGCTATTATATATAGTGCCAAACAAACAAACTAATAAATAAACAAACAAATATGATCTGTTCTAATAGGGTTTAAAAGATCCAGGGGAAACCATTCTTAATGCCAATAATATAAAATCTGGACCCTGAAGCAAAACTGGCTGAGGATTACTGATCTATGTCTCGGTGTTATAATTATATAAAATATATAAACAACTAAACATTAGTTTATCCTCTAACTATACAACACTATAAGCCAGCATTATCCTGAAATAAGCAGTATGCTGTTCCTGAAATAATGATAGACCGATCATTGTACAGATTTTATAGGGCAGTCTCATGTTAGTTACACTCAAGTTAGACATTGAAATTGCGGTGAAGATATGAATACGGACTAGACAGAACAATCAAAACAACCATTCACAAGTGAAAGGCGTTGACACTGACATCGATTTGTTGCGACAAAACCACCTGAAGTCATTTATTTAAAATCAGAGATGGCGATGTCCAGTGACACGAGCGTCAGCGATCGTTGCTTCAGTTTTATACAATTCAGTAGTGATGCAATGTGATTAAATCAATGTATTTGTAAACAACATTTAACATAAAAACACAATAGTTTGCAAAAATATTCTCAGAAGAAGTGAAGAACTACTTCAGAATATTAATATACTATTTTGGTGACAAAACAAGGTCCCGTTAATCAATGTAAGTTCATGCATTAAGAATGGGCATTCTTATTATTAATTTTTGTTAACATTAGTTAATAATAACATGACTATTCATTGGCTGTTTAGGTTCGCGCAGATACAGCTTTTTTTAAATTAAATTAAATTAAATTAAATGCAAACATTTCCCAAATTTGTCATTGTTACTTTATATTAAGTAATGTATTTAAAGAGATTTTCAACCAGCTTTGTGTTGTTAAAACTATAGTAGCATATGTAACTTTTTGGTAACACTTTATTTTAAGGTGTCCTTGTTTCACGTTACATGTACTTAGTATTATAATAACAATAAATTATGCATAATTACATGCAAGTCACCCTAAGCCAAACCCTAACCATATAATAAGTACATATAGTTAATGAATATTACTGAGTAGTTAAATGTATAATTACACTGGAACAAGGACACCTTAAAATAAAGTAACTTTTTTTTTTTTGTATCACCACAGCGCTTTTTCTCTTGGTAACATTGATTCAAATCAAAATTATTTTAAAGTGTTACCACTATTTTTACAATTAGCCTTTTTATTACTGTGTAAAAGTTACTGTGCAGCTATTATAAACACTGGCAGTGTGTGATGTTCAAACATACTTTGTTGGGATCCATTCTCATCCTTTCATTGTTGGCTGTGGAGGCTTTCTCTGCAGCTCTCTTCTGCCGCTGCGGTCCTCTGCCGAAGAAGATGTAGTTGACCAGCGCGTACTCCAGCAGAGCCAGGAAGACGAAGACGAAACAGCCCATCAGGTACATGTCAATGGCTTTGACATACGGGATCTTTGGAAGCGTCTCCCGCAAATGTGTGTTGATGGTGGTCATGGTCAGCACAGTGGTGATACCTGCGTTCAAAAGGGACTCATTGTTAAGAGTGCAAATCCCATAATTCTTGGAAACAAGGATTTATAAACACTGACTGTTCAATCCCTTTATTTAGACATTCAACTAACTATAAGTAACGTTGTAGTCATTAGAGTATTAGTAGACTGTCTGTTTAGTATCTGCTCGCAATTTATTCTGATGGTCCCACAACACACATTCTACTGACTTAAGTAGCTTCACAAATGCGTGTCAACATATTCTGCCAACCCTAATCTAAGAGTCTACTAATACTCTAATAAGACTGAATTAGAGAATGGCAATGAATGAGTTGACCTGTAGTTGCAAATTAATGAAAGTTAGTTGACATGTAGTTGCAAAGTTAATTAAAGACCCCATGTGGTGAAAATCACGTTTTTAACGTTGTTTATATGTGTATCTGGTCACACTTTAGTTTGGAGATCAGTTCTCACTATTAACTAACTATTATCTATAACTTCTGCCTCAACAAATTCCTTATTAATAGTTAGTAAGGTAGTTGTTAGTTTAGGTATGTGCTGAATTAAGGGATCTAAAATATGATCATGCAGAATAAGGCACTAATATGTGCTTCATAAGTACTATAAACAGACAATACGCTAGTTATATGCATGCAACTAGTGAGAACTGATCCCCAAACTAAAGTGTTACCATATGTCTGGTATTTTTAATATGCTTAAAGACCGACCATGAGCAAATTCAACAATCAGCAGCATTCCTGAGTAGTTTGTCCTTAAAAATGCAGTGTACCAAAATCAGTCTCAAAAACGCAGTTTGAATCTACTCGTTTCCTACAGTCACAAACATTTAACTCATCCCATCAACCTGTGGGGCGGGGCTTTTCATATCATTATCTCAGCTCATCATAGGTTTCTAATTGTTCTTGCAGCGTTGAGCAGTGTAGCCAATCACATAAATATCTGTTGACTTCATGAGCGCACTGACCAATCAGAGGCGTTTAAGTAAAGATCCGATCAAAACACAGGAGTTTTGTTCAGTGCTGAGTTCTGCACGCTCGCGAATCCTCTCATTATAACAAAACAAAGTATCGATGCAATGTAAATAATAGATTAATTGTGCAGTGTAGAGTTTCATTGATTATAATGGAACTTCACGTGATTCAAAGATTATAAGGGGAGTGCTCTCTGTGTGCTTTCTAGACTATAATCCATTCAGAATTTGAAGACATTCACTCATGGATTCACTCACTCCCCTATAACTCTTTATCTAGTTCTGCCACTTGCCATTGTGTAGCGTTCACTACTTCAGTTAACTGAGTGAAAGTGAAGCCAGTCTGAGCTGCTGCGATTGAGCGGAGGCGGGAACTAATTTGCATATTCATATAGAACCATGCATAGTAAATGAGGTGAGGGTGTAGAGTTACATTCAAGCCATTTTAAGGCATACATTATTTTAATGGGGAAAACATTCAAATGTATCATTTTGATTATCAAAGATGTGTTTTAAGGGATAACACTGCATTGAGATTTTAATGTCTGAAGTGGACTATCAAAATAAAATGTAAAACTATTTTCTGTAAGCTCCTTGCATTTTAGCTTTAAAAGAGGGATTGCATGGTAAATAGTCTGTATATAGATCACCCTGAGCATGTCCTCATTTAGAAAGTTAGGTAAACATCTGTGCATGTGTGAGGGGGCTTTATCACAATTCTTTTCTTTCAGCTGATGATTCAGATTCTTTCATTTGTATGATTTTTCATGCTTTCAGCTGGCGGAGTGGGAGTTGTGCACCTTAATCAGTGAAACACAAAGCCTGCCTCCAGCTAACCGGTGATTAACAAATAGTTGTCTTTTTATGCATTGAAATATCCATTCAGTGCCATTCTGACAGTTTTCATGACATTAACTGTGGATCCTGTGACAGGTATTGCAGAGCTTATGAGGTGCGGAGTTATTATTCTGCATAAACCATTGTGTTTTTATCATTATTACTAGCAGTATAGCTAAAGGTGATGCCACTAAAACATCGTAAATAGTCTGTATATAGATCACCCTGAGCATGTCCTCATTTAGAAAGTTAGGTAAACATCTGTGCATGTGTGAGGGGGCTTTATCACAATTCTTTTCTTTCAGCTGATGATTCAGATTCTTTCATTTGTATGATTTTTCATGCTTTCAGCTGGCGGAGTGGGAGTTGTGCACCTTAATCAGTGAAACACAAAGCCTGCCTCCAGCTAACCGGTGATTAACAAATAGTTGTCTTTTTATGCATTGAAATATCCATTCAGTGCCATTCTGACAGTTTTCATGACATTAACTGTGGATCCTGTGACAGGTATTGCAGAGCTTATGAGGTGCGGAGTTATTATTCTCAATAAACCATTGTGTTTGTATCATTATTACTAGCAGTATAGCTAAAGGTGATGCCACTAAAACATTTCACCCTTCTCTGTTCCCCATCATCACCTCTCTTGGCTGCTAAGCACTGTGAGTGTAATTTGCATATGGAACCAATTTAGACATGATTAAACTTGACCAATAGCACAGCAGATCCTGTCCGCCTCCTGCCGCGTGTTATTGGCTAAATCAGAGAATTATGCAGCTGATACTCTCTCGTGAGGTAATACACAGAGGAAAACCCGCCGTTTTCTAGCTCTATCCATATAAATGCACATTTGCAATCAAATGCCTAATGATTCTAATCAGGATGAGCTTTAAACAGTAATATCTGCTCATTCTATACATGCACGCTCACTCTGCCTTCTGTTCAACGCTACAGCGGTTTCGCACTTGTGTGGATGAATGAGGCCAGGCCAGACAGCAATCACAAAGAGTGCTCTTTTATTCACACTGAGAAGCTTGCACGCTTGCTGCCTACATCAGCCTTACATAATCAGTGATGACGGGAAAAAGAGGAGGCTTATAAAACACAGAGAGAGAGAGAGAGAGAGAATGTGTGGTGTAAAAAAAAGACAAAGGCAATCAAATCAGTAAAAATGTCTGTTACTATGCTTGATTAATGACTTTCAAAAAAAAGGATCTCGCAGGGTATTTGGGGTGAATCTCATGAAACCTGCTCATCTTTAATTAAAAAAAAAAAAAGCAAAAGAAAGTATTTATGTATGCTTTAATACAATCACTTTAAAGAATAAACTATTATATGTATTTATAAATATATGTATATATTAGTGCTGTCAAACGATTAATGTGTGTGTGTACTGTGTATATTTATTATGCATATATAAATACACAGACATGTATGCGTATATTTCAGAAAAAGATGTTACATTTATATATTTAATATATTTATATATAATATTAATTTTATGAATATAAATATATACATGTAAATACATGTACATATTTTCAAAATATATGCTGTATGTGTGTGTATTTATATATACATAATAAATATACACAGCACACACACATATTGTCACACCCCAGTGCACTGTTTGTTGTGTTTGTTCCCTCCTATGCCCATATTTGGTTAAGTTCCTGTTCTGGTTAGTTCATCTTGTTTCAGTTTATTGTCTCATTATTAGTTAACCCTCCTCACCTGTGTCCTCATTATTGCATCCTCCTCACCTGTCCCTCATCTTCTCCCCTACTTAAAGTCTAGCCTGTTCAGTTCTGTTTTGTGTGTGCGTGCGCATTTTTGTGACAAATGAGGAATAATAAATGTGTATAATGACAAAGGTATAACATAGGTATTATAAGGAGAAGGTGACTTTTCAGGACATTACCCCATGTCCCCACTTTTCAAAACGCTTATAAATCACACAGAATGGAGTGTATTGAAAATCTGAAATAGCAGAAAGTCTCCTGTGAGGGGTAGGTTTAGGGGTAGGGTTGGTGTAGGGCAATAGAATATACGGTCTGTACAGTATAAAAACCATTACGCCTATGGAGAGTCCCCACTTTTCACAAAAACAAACGTGAGTGAGTGAGTGTGTGTGTGTGTGTCCCAGTTGTGGAATAATTAAAGTGTAATTGGAATTCGTCGTCCTGCCTGATCCCACACACTGAATTGTGACACATATATTATGTAAACTAGAACTTTTATTTTGGATGTGGTTAATCATTTGACAGCACTATATATATGTATAAAAAATCATCTTAAAAATGTTATGTACAAAAATCTTAGATATTATGGATTGAATTTTACAAATGACAACAATCGAGATCAGAAATCGCGATTATAATTGAGCTAAATCATTGTGATTATCAATTTAAGCATTGTGCAACATGGGACTAAGTTTTAATTGTTTAACACTAGACTAAAATTCCCAGACCTCCAGTCAACTAAAACTTGACTAAACAATCAGGATAGGTTGACTAAATATGCTCAAATCAACTCAAACAAGTAAATAAATAATGGTTGTACAGTATAATGTATTTTGTTGTTGTTGTTTATGGTTTACATTTGGTGTAAAAAATGTCTTAGTAAAATGTTTTATGAATTTTTAGTACATATAGTATATATATATAAACATTTTAATGTTTTCATCAACTGTTTAAAGCATAATTCAGACTGATATAGCATCACAAATCATGTTTACTGCAGTCTTAACTCATATATTAGAAGTAAACGTATATATGGTACATGTTTCTACCATTTTTTTTACTATTTTAGATGCTAGAATGTCACAGCACATCAGCACCTAGACTGAATGGCGTAGTCTTGTATAAAAACTTGCCAGCTTGGTAGAGCGGTTAAAGTTTAACATTAGCACACTGTCTTCATCTTCTTAGGCATTCTGGATCAGACATTACTCCAAAGACTGCTACTAATCAAACATTAAGTTTTGATATATTTACGGTAGGACATTTACAAAATATCTTCATGTAACATGATCTTTATTTAATATCCTAATGATTTTTGGCACACAAGAAAAATTGATAATTTTGACCCATACATACAATGTTTTTTTGGCTATTGCTACAAATATGCATCAGCGACTTATGACTGCTTTTGTGCTCCAGGGTCACATATTTATTTCAGTTCTCAGCTTGCTAC